CATGTCCAGAAGGACATAGCTTCACAGTTGTTTCATTCCTTTTCCCTTTACTGTTGAGTATTTGAATATATATATTCGTATGTTAACTCGATAGCATGTTCCAGTATCCTCCTGGCACTCTGGAGGTATCACCAGGAATGGCAGAAAGTCCATCAATTAGTGCAATTGGTACGGCTGTTTCTGGTGCACCAGTTGGTATTAAACGTGGTGCCTTCATGGGGAGCTGCAAGCATCGTGTGTGGGAAGCGATAAGAGCATCGTCTGCTGCACCATATTATTTGGATGATTTCTCTGTTGGTAATATTTGTACACTCAGCCATGGTTTCTAGTTTGCGCAATGTAGACTATGCCTTATTTTCTTGAAGGCCTTTTGATATCGAATGTTCCTCAGTTGTCATTTTTTCTTATTCTTATCATTTTTTTCAGATGCAAATCGTTGGCAAGATGGAGCTATTGTAGCCAACAATCCTACAATCTTTGCCATTAGAGAAGCACAGCTTTTGTGGCCAGATACACGAATAGATTGTCTAGTCTCAATAGGATGTGGCTCAGTTCCAACTAAGGTAATTCAATGCTTCTCGCTTTGTTGTTGAAATTATCTACTACTCAACAATTGGTCCAATTCTGAATACTTCAGAAATTTACTTATGAAAGTAACTTTTAGTTTCATTGGTTCAATATCAAGCAACAGAAAATCAGACTTTTAAATTTGTAGGCTAGATTTGGTTCATTTCCAATTATGACTCTGCCTTTTGGATTTGTGATCTTTAAGTGCCTCATAAGAAAACTACATATCTATTCTTTGCTCTGATCCAAAATATATGACACTTAGGATATTGATATGGCTTACAAGTTGACACTTTGACTAGAGATTTCTATGAAAATATGTGGTTTCAAATAAATAAAACTAAATATTATGGAAGTACTTTGCTTGTTTAATCTAGCAACATCTTACATAGTCAATTACGTAGTTCTTTATATGAATATATGAATGGTCAATGTTAAACAAGCAACGACAAAAATCCTAAATATACATCTTGTAGAAAACAGGCATACATCTATTACTAAAAAAAAAAAAAAAAGGGCAGACCCAGTGCCGGAGGCTCCCACATGAGTGGGGTCTGGGGAAGGGAAAAACCGAGGCAAGCCTTCCCCCCGCAAATTTGCGGAGAGGCTGCTTCGAACCCACGACCTGGTGACTCAGTGAGACAGCTCTCACCACTGCACCAGGCCTGCCCTTCTACATCTATTACTAAGAGACACTGAAATAATCAAAGATGAGTACTGGTTTCTTGTAATTTGAAATTTTAACTTGTACACTGCATTGCATTTAGACTCCTAGTGAACTTTGATATGAGATACACGTCTTTGGTCCGACTTATATATAGGTTTATTCCATGTCTGTATCTAGAGTCGACGAGGTGGATGGCGCTACTTGGACACAGGGCAAGTGTTAATAGAAAGTGCATGCTCAGTGGAGAGAGTTGAAGAAACTTTGGATACACTAATACCAATGCTTCCTGAAATGCAATATTTCCGCTTTAATCCAGGTAATTCAACTTCAAAGGAATCTCTTAGGGCCCGTTTGGCACAGCTCCAGCTCCAAGATTTATGCTGGATTTGTAGTTTGTAGACTAAATTAAAGTGGGTTAAATATTTTTATTCAATCTAAAATATAAATTAAATGAGTCTTGTAAATGTACTTAACATGTCTGCAGCTCTAGATCTAGGATTTCCTAGAGCTACTGGTGACCAGCTCTAGGAAATCCACAGATTTCTAGGAAATCTACAGGTTTCCCAGAGCTCTACCAAACAGAACCTTAACATTTGCTTGAAGAGAAACTATTAATAGGACCTTACATTTGCTAGAAGAGAAACTATTAACATGTTGGGATCTGTAGCAACATAACCATAATTTGTTGTGTACTACTTTTGATATGTTTCATGTTTCAACCTAATAAGCCTGCATATTCAAATGAGCGAGCTTCTTCGTATGTTGGCAGTGGATGATCGGTGTGGTATGGAGTTAGATGAAACTGATCCTGCTATCTGGCTTAAGTTGGAAGCTGCAACTGATGAGTACATTCAGAAGAATTTTCTGGCTTTCAAGAATCTTTGTGAGCTTCTGGTCCCAAGGTACCAAGAGGAAGAGAAGTCATCGGATATTTACAAATCCCTTTCATTTTCAAGACTGACATCGTTAAATCAAGGTTTGTCTTTCCCAAAAATCAGCATATCTTTTTTTTAAAAATATATATATTTAGAATGCCTGTTTGATATTTCTTTTACCTCTCTTAACAGGTTTTAGCGAAAGTAATCCTACCTTAGGATGGAGGCGTGTGGTTTTACTTGTAGAGGCTTCATTTAGTCCTGATTTTGGGAAGAAAATAAATCATGCACGTTCCCTTGAATCTTTCTGCTCCCAGAATGGTATTAGGTTAGCTCTAATGAATAGTGCTTCTGGGTTTGGGAAGCCAGCCACTGCACTTCCTACCCCAATAACTTCTCCCTTGTTTACTGGAAGTTTCCCATCTAGTCCACTTCTATATAGTCCAGAGGGCACTCAACGGATCGGTCTAATTGACCTAGTTCCGCCACTTAGTTTGGATGGCCACCCAACTACAAAGTCCTCACCACCAACATCACCATTTAAGTCAAGGCAGCCATCTGCACATGTTCGGTCATTGTATGATAAACTTCAGAATATGCCTCAAGTTGGTGTAATACACCTGGCTCTTCAAAATGATTCAACTGGTTCAGTATTGAGGTATCTTTCACATGCTTTAGCATATTTTATTTTGTTTCTGGTTTATAGTTATGAAGTATGACACAAACTACTGTTGCAGTTGGCAGAATGATGTATTTGTGGTTGCTGAACCCGGGGAACTTGCAGACAGGTTTCTGCAGTCTGTCAAAACTAGCTTGTCAACCTTGTTGTGTGGGCGTAATAGAAAGGGTGCATATTCCTTGTCCAAGATTTCTTGTTTATCTGAGTTGGTTGCCGAATGGCCATCTTTTGAAATCGGTGGGATACACCACCGCTATATAGGTCGACAAACACAAGTAGGAATTGCTTTTTCTGGCTCCTTGTTTCCAACTAGGTCATTATTATGCATACTTAGTTATCCTTCTGCCGTAGGTAATGGAAGATAACCAAGAAATTGGCGCATATATGTTTAGGAGGACAGTGCCTGCTGTTCACATGGCACCTGAAGATGTTCGATGGATGGTAAGTCAATTTGCGTAGCATGAATACATGCTCTTCATATTATGTTCAGGCCACAACTGGATTCCTCATATCACATGCCAGCTGTGAAAGTTGCCAAGTATGGCAACCAAATCTGTGTCGTAGGAAAATTTTGAAAGGGATCCAAATAGAAGTCATGCCAACGCAACCGTATCGGTTTGGTTAGCTAAAATTTGGCCATGTCTGCAGTCACTCTTCCAATTCACTGGTTGTCTAAAATGAAATTGCTGCTATGAAACTATCCTTTGTGCACCTCTTTGATTAGACCCTGCTACCACCTCGTATCCAAATACCTGTGATCGAGCTCAATTATTTTTAAGCCCTGCAACTGCAAGGCTAATAGAAACCTGTTTCCTGGGCCAAGGCAGCTTAAAAGTAGGGCTCGATATGTTTTTTTTTACTTGCACACTGCACTATCTTGCTTATCTGTTGTTGTGCTTCTTCGCACGTCAATAAGCTTAGGGCATCATGACTCCTTACATATAATGATGTCCCAGGTTGGAGCATGGAGGGAGAGGATCATTGTATGCAGTGGTAAGTATGGCCTTGCTCATGGTCTGGTCAAGGCATTCATGGATTGTGGCGCCAAAGCAGTCATCTCGTCGTCCATCGAGCCTCCGGATTCCCAGACAATAGCCTACCATGGGATGGATGTCAATGGAAGCCTAGAGAATGGAAAGTTTGTCATCGGGGATGAAGAAGCCGACGAATCAGAGCCTGAACCTGTTAGCCCTATAAGCGACTGGGAGGACAGTGACGTGGAGAGAGGCGGCAACCATGACATGGATGATGAGGAGTACCTGGCTCAGTTCATGTGCCTGATGTATGACAAATTGTTCCGTGAGGGTGTGACTGTGGATACAGCTCTGCAGCAAGCGCTCCGCTCGCATCCCAAGTTGAAGTACAGCTGCCACTTACCCAACGTTTTGTAGTTAGGGACATTGACAAACCATACAAAAGTATAGCAAAATGGACATGGACAACAGGAAATGAATAAGGATTGGGTGGATTCATAGTGGGGTTATAGAGGTTTATATCGTGTTCGTTGTGCAGGCGTAGCGACAGAGTGTTCCCCTTACTGAATCTTTCGGCGAGAAAGCCCATGTAAAACTATGTGTACTCATGAGCAGAGTAGTTAAGCTGACGAATAAAAGCATGATGAAGGCATTGCAATCTGGATGTGCATTTTTGCTTCAGCTTAGCTTGCTGCTTGCATTCTGTAGCTAACTATCTTCAGAAATCCAGTTCCGTGTATACTGGTACCTTATCCATGTGAAATTGTATGCTAGAAACCTAAATGAGTATTGTAGAAGTTTCCACATTTCGCCACAGTTTATGCAATGCTGGCAGTGGCATAAACTTTCCAAGCCCATTTGTTCTGTTTGAAGCCCTGTACTGGTTTTTCTGGTGGTGATCATTTCGGTTCATGCTGACCAATGTATGTTTTTAACCAAATCTCTGCATTAATAAACAGTAAACACATCAAGTACTAAACTGGCGATTGAGCGGTGGCTCTGGTTTTCTTCAAGCTTGCCCCCATGATTGACAAGCAGTTTGTTTGAATTAATGATGACCAGCTTTTAACGAAGCATGACCTTATTGAGCATAAACTACGGAAAGCTACTACCTCTGCAAACAAACAGCTCGTGAACCTCCTGGTTGAACACTCTCCACCAATTTCATCAGAAACGAAAAATTTACATCCAGCCAAATGCCCAGAAGAGTCGGGCATGATCAACCCGCACGTGATCGTTCAGGCCTTCTTGGCGGCGAAGCCGAGGATGAACTCTCTGGTCTCGTCGGTGGCCCGGTCGAGCGCCGTCCGGCCGTCGACGTCCTTGACGTCGAACTTGGCGCCGGCGCGGAGCAGCTCCTCGATCTTGGGGCGGTCGCCCTCCGAGGCCGCGAGCATGAGGAGGATGTCCACGGGGTGGATGTCCTGGTTCAGCAGCGCCTCCATCTTGTCGTAGGTGCCCTCCACCGCCAGCATCCCCATGTAGTTGAAGTACTGCAGTTATCAATCGCCCGCCGGGGCGGTTCAGATTTGCTCTGCGCTACGATCCACAGAGGACGCAAGCAAATGCGTCCCCGCAAAATGAAAATGCAGGAGCTTAAGACTACCTGCTCGACGTCGTCGCGGTCGAAGTCGTCCCTGGCCTGGCTGCCGTAGATGCCGGCGCCCTCGGCGTCCTTGTTCCCGAACTTGAACCAGCACGTGGGGCCCACCCGCCCGCTCTCGCTCGCCGGCACCACGCGGCTCAGCCGCGACGGCCGGAGCCACCCCAGGCCCCGCCGCCCCGCGCCCAGCAGCGGCGTTCTCAGCCCCGCTCCTCCTCTTCCCTGGCCTTGGCCTTTCCCCTGCGCCGCCGCCCGCGGCGACACCCTCCTCGACACCGCCGTGCTGAGCTGGAAGGTGCACGGGATGGACGCCATGGCCTCCTCCTCCTCCTGCTCTGCGTCTGGGCTCGGCTTCTTGTTTGGAGCGCGGAGGGCGTGCGCGTCGGGAGAGCGAGAGGCTGGGAAGGGCACTGAGCTGCAGTACTGAGGAAGTGGATAAGTTAACACGCCACTGCTGAGTGCTGAACCAAGTGTTTGGCCCTGCACTTGTTTTATATGGATGCTTAGCCTCAAGAGTTAGGCAAAATCAGGTGACGATCACTACCTGAATAATGAATCTCTCAGCTGCTTTTTAATCTGATGATGCAAAACAGCACAGCACAGCACGGCAGATATTCAGAGATTGCAGGAGAGATACAAAGTGTCTTTTCTGTTCCGCAGGAAAGGTTGAGAGGATGGACAAAGCTTTTTGAGATCGAATTGGGTCGGGCCGTAGGGTTGGTGTGAGATATACAATGATGTGAGAGAATGGATCAGAGGCCCGATCAGCAGCAAAAAAAAAATTAGGAGAACAGGAGGGGTGATGCCCCTACTGAAATTTTATTAAAAACTTAAGAGAGTACAAGAAGGAAAAAAGAAAAGTGCAACCAAAGTGTCAGCCACTCATCCATGAGGGGGAAGATAACTCCATTTCTCATCCACCAAACACTCAACTCATCAAGATAATCATCTCCATGAAGGGACTGAGAACTGTTGCCTCAAAGAATTTAGTACTTGGGGTGGCTGTAACTGATCTTGAATATGCAGGTTTAGCGGATTCCAACATTCTTTTGCAAAAGTGCAGTGAAGGAAGAGGTGCTTAACTGTTTCTTAGCAATTTGTGATTCAGCAATTCACCAGAAAGTTTAGCACGTGGGAAAGAAGTGCATACAGGAAACGTGATAAGGAATTAATTTTCTCAAACGAAAAGAGGGGATATGTGGATAAAAAAAAACTCGATCCGCGGTGGCTAGACAGCCCTGGTATTCCGGCTTAAGAAGAAGATTTTCTCACGCAGATCGAGAAAATCCCTAAACCTCTGCCCCACCGATACACAGCGGCATCGCAGCTCCGTGAGATGAGCCGGCCACAGACCTGTGCTTTAGATGTGGAGCAGACAAGAGTTTTTTTTCCACCTTGGTCACTGCGGCCGAAGCCACAAATAAAGAGTGAGTCCCTTGGGACTCGAACTCTGACCACCCCAAGGGGGAGGTACTGAGCCTGCAATGACCACTCGGTCAGCCAGGCTATTCTATAAAGGGTGTGTGCGAAAGGCTGATCTGCTCAAGGCCGCATTGGGACATACTCCAACAGTGTCTGGTATATAGGGTATGTTTGGTTGGGTGGCTAACTTCTAGTCTGGCTAGAATCGAAGCCTGGGCAGCCATAGCCTAATTCCACCAAGTCAATCCCTGGTTGTTTGGTTGTTTGTGCTTTCTAAGCCTGGCTAGCCCCAGTGTGTGTTTGGTTGCCTGGTTTATTTTGATACAATCACCTTTTCTCTGAATTGGTAAGGATACCCCCTTTGAGGCATTTCGTCGAACAAATGGTGGACATCCTCGACGAGCACGGCACTTGGCAGTAGCAAGGCGAGAATCGCGAGCCGGACTAGCACGACGAGCAGCAGGGCTAGCACGACGAGCAGTAGGGGTTGGCAATGATCTACGAGAAGATCGATACTTCAGTCTGCAGGCCAAGTCATATGATCCTGAAGGCGAATACGTTGCAATTCAACCGGTAGAGAAGACCAAACAGCATGCACAGAAGACAAGTAAAATAGGAGGCTCTTGATTCACTCGAAATCAAACTATCTATCAGTAGATGAAGTAATTTTTTTACATAACTGACTGTAGTGTAAACATGCACGAATTTCTCTATGGTCTTATGCAATGTTCATTGATGCATTCAGCTACACATTGCAATGTTTGTCAGTAGATCCAGCACAAAGGATTAGAAGGCCTAAACATTCACTCACATCCAACACGTTCATGTCCGCTCGAATCGTGCTTCTGCTGGCGTCATCGATGGGCGAAGAGCATTCTGGACCTCAAGCGGATCCGTGGCGCGCTGGCCTAGTTCCTCAAGCCGGATCCGTGGCGCACTCGGTAGCAGCAAGGCTCCGCGACATCATCTCCCTGCTGCTCTTTGGCCTCGAGCGGAGCCCGCTCCAGGACGTGCTCGTCGGCGACTTTCCCTGGTGGAAAGCGGCCTTTCCCAACGCTCGCGGGACCCCCGCCCTGCCACCGCGGGAGCTCGCCATAGAAGGGGCGCTCGCCATCAAAGGTGGAAAGCGGCCTTTCCCAATGCCCGTCGGAGCACGGCCACCTCGCGAGCTCGCCGTCGAGCGCCGTGGGATCCTCCGCGTTGGTGGCCGGAGCACGCTGGCGCCGTCGTCCTCCTCGGATCGAGCCTCCGTCATCGAGCGTCCGTTCCCAGACCTCCGCGTTGTGACCGGGAGGTGATGCGACGGGAGCTAGAGTGCTGGCCAAGCCAGGCTCCTGAAAAACGGATCCCCATCTCGTTTTTTCAGGGCCAGGCTAGGACCTCTAAAGTAGCTTAGTTGGGCCTGGCTCAGGCAACCAAACAGCTGAAAGTTGGCTTCCTGAAGCTTGGTTGGGGGTTAGCCACCCAACCAAACAGGCCCATGCTGCCTTGTGCCTCAGCCCGGAAAAAGGATATGATACTTGTGTCATGGCTTTGGCATGTCCTCATGTGGACCATGTTTAGCATGCTCTCTGTATATCAACTGTAGTGGTGTTGGTAGTGTTTTGCTAGTTATGTATCTCGTGCTGACTGTTGCCAGTGGTCGGCCTGCCGAATTGCCGATGGCCCTTGGAAGCACGGTGTTCTTGCCATCAACCAGGAAGCACGCCACAATCCATGCTTTTGTCCGGTACTAATATTGCCATCAACTAATATTGGGTTCAACCATGTATCAACAACTTGAATGTTAGCCTGATTGAGATCATTTACATTACATCAATTCAATGTTTCTAAATAGCCTTCACTATTTTGTTAACGTATTCGTGACATGGAGCATTGGCTAAGATCCAGTGGCATTTTAAACAGGCCAGGTCAATGTGCATCCTTAGTTCCTTACATCAACACACCATCCATCACGACCTTGTTATGTCTGATGGGAGTCGCTTTCCAATTTCCACAGATAAACCTGTCATACTCATACACAGAGCGCAACAGCAGTTTCCACATAGAAAAAAAATGGAACAGCTAGAAAAAGTAACTACTACTAGATGCAAACTGGATTGCAGCAGCGTACAAGGCCGGACGAATGGACAATGTCAGGTGGATGGATGATTGCTGCACTAAATCCGGCACATGGCATATGTCCTCCAAAGCCAAAGACGCCCTCTGGGAAAGGGCAGCAGCAAGCATATGGTCCTTGCCCTTGCCAAACTCCACCGAATTAAGCTACGCAAACGTCTCCGACAGCTTGGAGAAGCCGAGCTTCCTGAGCCGGCTGCTCATCGGGTTGCCGCACTTGACGTCCACCACCTCGACGCCGTACACGCTCCCCTTCTTCTTCGCCTTGCCAGCCTTCGGGGTCCGGTCCACGAGCGCGCCGTCGGAGCGCAGCATTGGAGAGTCGAAGGTGTTTCTCCCCGAGACCCTCCTCGGCTTGCAGGCCTCTTCGACGCTCACGCGGTCGGTCCTGTTGTTACTGCTGCTGCTGCTGCTGGAGATGTCCGATGAGCTTTTCCTCAGCATGAGCTTCCGAGGAGTAGTGGCTCCACATAGCACTGAGACCGGACGGCCTTGGTGCCTCAGGCGTGGGGTGCCTGCAGCTGCCTGTGGCGCCACCTTGATTGTGTCCAGTTCTCTCGTCATGAGCGAGCCGATGGTACCCGTTGTACCTACTTTGATTGTGCCTCCCTCGCCATGGACGACCTCGGTGGCGCAAGGCATGATCTGTTTCAGTCAGACAGAAGAGTAGTGACTGGTTAGTTTTCATACATACAAGTAGCAGTTGAGCAAAGCTTGAAGCAACAATTGGATTGAGCAAGCAAGAGCTGTTGAGTGGTGAAAGGCTGGCAGTGTACTGCTGTGGTTAAAAGTAAGGGAAAAGGTTGTGTAACAAGAGGAATAAGATCATGGCATTTTTAGTAGTACGCAGGAAGAGAAGGGTAAAATTGCAGGCAATTGTGGCTATGATTGCTGTTTGATAAAACAAAGAGAGTGATAAGCTTCAATGATTCAACCGCCATGATAGCACAGTGTCAACCTACTTGTATTCCTAATTCTAGTTATGATATATCCTCACATGCAAATCCAGCAGATATTTGGTCTTACTTGAAGAAATATGATACCCACACAACATTTTATCCGTAAATATAAGTGTCAATGTGCCACACTTTCTTATACTCCTTTTTGCAGAATAGAGCATTAGGTAGAAATTACATGACACTGTTCAGTATTTACACAGTGAAAAACATACTACACTACATTGCTGGAAATGCATCATTGATCAGTCAAGTTAACGCTATAATAATTAATGTGGCACTGACGAGTATTTCACATAGATTGAGAGATCTCAACAATATCTGAAGTTGTGGTGACCCTGAAATAACAGGAGTTAATGGAAGGCGACCATGGAAAACGATGTTCTGTCTGCGTGGTTTCTAAAGGAATTATCAGTGGAGGATCCCACCAACAAACTGAGGTGTAAAGATGCACTACGCCCAAACGTTGCTCGGTTGCTCCACCCCCACCCCCACCCCCTCTTTTCCACCCCTCCTTTCTGCCCCAATTTACTCACTGATGCCAACTTTTGAGGACATGCATGTATTGTGTAGGCCGCCACTCTGGATGGCCTGCCCTTTCTTATCATCTCCTAGGAAAGAAAGGTTGTGCTAATCAAAACGATTCACCACCAAGAGCAGCAAGGGAAAGAAACAGCTGGTGGCAAGCATCCAGAATCACTTCTCTTGGTCATGGGATGCCAAGACGGCAAAGCAAAGAACCTACCATCCTCTGACCCCTTTCTGCCTTTGGATTCTTGCTTGCTTTTTATTCAGTCACTGGATTCCTTAGGGGACTAATTTAATGAAAAAAAAATCAAAATGCGGCACCAAATCTTGTGGGGTTATTCACCAAATTCTCATCCTATAAATATGTAAACAGTAAACTAGGATGAAACAAACAAGCGCTGAAACACGAATTTGGAAGAGGTTTCCTAGAGAAGAAGTAGAAATAAACGAGGGCAGACGACAAGAGCTGCAGGCTTGCAGTACTTCCGTTCCTGGATTAGGACAAGATTTTGACTTTTGGGGCAGGCCAGATGTTGTACTTGGTACCACAAGATTGCAAGCCAAAACTCAGGAGGCGGATTGGAGGACTCTGAACCAGATTAGTTGAGGTCCTCCATTAGGCACAGCAAGATGCAAAGAACTACTTAACCCGTTTGCTGAGAGAATGCACTCGAACCATTTAGTGCTTCATTAGTTCAGCCCCTCAGGCATCGGCAACACAGGGAGAGAAGGGAACGATTGGAGAGAAACAATTAGAGCGAAGATTCGGGAGAAATGGCACGGAACAATCCAGATTCGTTCAGCAAATGGGAAGCATTTCCCCGCTGGATGAGCTTACGCTAGTAATTCCCACAGAAATCTAATCTTCACTCACCTAGGGCAAATACTCGCTACTACTTGAACAGATCACGCAAGGCAGCTAGCTAGAAACTGCAAACAGATCACACGAGGAGCATGAGGCAGCCATACCTGTTCACTGGTTCTTCAAAGGCCGCACGCCGGGGACTGGAGCTTGAGGAAGAACGGAGCGGCAGCTAGCTTCGGAGCAGAATTGAAGAGCGAGGTGAAGCGAAGGGGGAGCCCTGTCACATTCAAATGGCCTGCTGCGTGCCTTGAGGAGCGCAACGCAACTGCCTTCGGGTTCGGCTGACTCTCCTCTCCCAATTTATGCCGCCTGCCTTGTGCTCATGTGCTGCCCTTCTTCTTCCTCGGGGTTGGGGAGCCTCCTCAGGCCACATTTGTCTTTACTCAATGCTCTGCTCGCTTCTCTTATGCTCGGTACTTTTTTCGGTCGGAACATCATTTTGATTTAGGGTGTGTTTAGTTCACGAAATGAAATTTTTTTAACGTGAGAAGGGGTTTTTGACTAATAAAAAAAATAATTATATAGCTCGTCTGGAAACTACGAGACGAATTTATTAAACCTAATTAATTCATCATTAGCGCATGTTAGTTACTATAACACCTATGTCTAATCATGGACTAATTAGTCTTAAAACATTCGTCTCGTGATTTTCAACTAAACTATATAATTAGTTTTTTTCGTCTATATTTAATACTCAATACATGTGCCGCAAGATTTAATGTGATAGTATGGTGTGAAAATTTTTGAACTAAATCAGGCCTTATTTTGTGACGAAGCGAACGAGGCCAATGTCATGTCATGCCGTGTGTGTGAATAGTTTTTTTCCTTTATTTATTCATTCATTTATTTGTCGGCTTATATATTAAAAAAAATCAAAAGGCTGCCTTAATTTTTTAAGTCTATAACACACGGTACCAGCAGCGCTACTATATTCATCGTTGCGAAGATATCTTTCTACTACTTCGTCCCATTGCTAGTCATAAGGCAAACTCGTTTTTTTTACTTTAAAATCACTATCCAAATTATATAAAACTGACAGTCCATTATTTGTGCTACTATATTGGTTGTGAAGATATTTATGTAATATATCAATGTAGTGGTTTAATATAATATATTGTTTTGTAATATCAATGTACTATATGTATTGGACATTGTTATGATGTCATAATGAAAGTGATGGAAGTAGTAGCTTTAATAATTTGAAACTATGAGCCATTTGGACAAATTCCGTATTAACCGGGTCTATGCTATTTTTATATGTGTGTATATGCTGGAGAAGACAATAAAAAAGAAAAGAAAAACTTGTGCATTAAGCCATTGACCACCATTAACAGCGCCAACCCACACATAGCACATGAACGGTACCCAGTAATCAATGTGGTATCCAAGGCCAAGAAATTGCCCTGTTCGTTTGAACTTATCAGCCGGCTTATCAGCGATAATCTATAGTATTTTTCTTTCATAACAAAACAGTTTCAGCTGGCTTATTAATCGGTTTTAATACCAGTCGAACAGTCATAGTTGCGACGTGTCTCATCTCATGATACAAGACGTAATTTGGTTTGGTTTGAAAGAAAATAGATCTGCCTAATTTGGTTTGAAAGAAAAGCAATCTCCGCGGACTCACATAATCGATACGCTTCGGAGGGTTTTGATGAGTACGCAAGTCGACGTACTAGTGTTTTTCTCTCATAACAAAACAATATTAGCCGGTATATCAGCTGTAGAAACCATCAGGCGAACAGGACGGAAGACGCTCTTTCAATGTGAGCCCAATTTAAAGATTCTACTATATAGTACTTATTATTGAGTATAGATAAAAAAAGAACGTCTGAAAAGAAGCCCTTATATATATTTATACACACCTCCTAAACTACAGGTGTCTGACCTGCTCAGTCTGTACTGCCGATGACCTCGCTTGCTCTGCAGCCTGAAAAGAAGGCATGATGTCCACTGGATTGGAATCCTACAGCTTGAGAACGTCGCCTGAATGTAGCGAAAAAAACAGGCAGCTGTTTATTAGCAACTCCCATGTTTATATATATATATATATATATATATATATATATATATAAGAAATTGAAAAGGAGGGTGGTGAAAATAGTTGGCGTGGAGTGGTGCGCCGGCAGCAGAGCGTGCGTCGTTGTGCCTCTCGTCTCTTTGACTTGGCCCTGTTTAGCTTCGCTAAAATTTACTGCTCGCTGATTTGTTGTAAGAGAAAAATACTGTACCACAATTGATGAGTTTAAACGAAATGAGCCAGAGCCAGTCGACACAGAACACGCCCATGATTCCTGTCCCCTTGCAGGATTTGTGCTCCTACCTAATGTTGAATCTGTCAGGTTTGACAAACACTGAATATAATTTATATACTCTACCCCTAGAAAACAGCCGTGGATTCGGATGAAATTAAATAAACCAGCTCGTTGGAGCGTACTAGTGGCATTATTTGACAGCAGCTCGCCGAAGCCCGAGTGCTGCATAATTATTTGTGTACGCAGCAATGATCGGACGAGCACCCAGCTCTTGCGCGCTCGATCAGCATCCGTATTTGTGTCCATTGCGACTGTGGCAGACGATGATGGGCTCCGATTTCGAATTTCATGTGCCAAACGTGACGTGGCCCGCCTGACCCGTCGCCTGAATGCCTGGCATGGGCAGGTGCGGCAGCGGCACAAACAGCATGTTTACATGTGGGTTCCAGCTAAGACTTATCAGTTAATTAATAATAATAATAAATTAATATCAACCCAGTCAAAAACCAACAACTAATAGGCCGAAAGCGGGGAAGGAATCCCCCGAATCCGACCGGTGGGAGACGAAACACAGTGTCTCTGACTGAGTGTCACAACAGCCGGACACGGCCGCACTCTGGCCAACGTCCAAAAAGAACACCTGACAGCGACGTTACATGCCGTGCCGCTTGCTGACCGATGGCGCGTCGGCGTCGGCATTGGTGGTCGGTGGCGGTCCGGCGGATCCAGACGCGCCCGTGGCTACCGCTAGTCTCCTGTTCTGCTCATTAACTTTTTACTTTTCAGTCGGCTTCTAGTTATTATTTCAGTTTATTCTTTCTCACACAAATATTATTGAATAACCTGAAATCAGCAGAAATACCATCATTAGAACAGGGAATAATCGCATCGCATGGCCATGCTAGATTTTTTTTTCCTACGACCGTCAAATCTAGTACTAGTTATTACGGAGTATCTTCGTTCAAAAAAATTTCGGCTCTCTTCTTCGTATGGCATGTAATATTAATTTAGAGCTGGCCATTAAAAATGCACTAATGC